AATTAAAAGTGATCATAATTTATTTGAAAATGACAAGTCTTGACAATTATAATTAAAATCATCAAATAAGTCAATTTAAAATTGTACACTCCTAGCTATTAAGCTGTCACATAATATACACATTTCCTTTCTTCTTCTTTTTTTGCACATTTATTATAATTACATATTTGAAAATAAAAGCATATTTTTTAACATATTTTTTACTTTTCTGACAAAAAAATTATTTATTATTTATAATTAATTTTAACTGTTTTTTTCGTTATTCAAAAATCAAAATCAATCATTTTAAACTTATAATAAAGTATTATATTATTGCACCAACCATTAAATGCAACCATGTAATATTAAATATCAAATTTAATAAGAGAATGAAACAAGAAATACAAGCAATAAAAATCTCTCTCCATTATTCATTCTTCACAACATTTTCTCCAGCTTGGAATTTGCCTAAAGCAAATCTAACCTTATTGTAATGAGAAATACTATTACGAAATAAACAAGAAGCAAACTAATAAAACCCAACAAATCTTATCATTTCTTATTCACATCCAAATTTTTCCATATCAAAGCTACTTGATGTAGTGCTTTTGCAGAAGAGCCATCTTCTTTTAGCGCATTACCAACAATATCTTTTAAATCCCTTATCCTCTTATAAATCTCCTTACCTTCTTCACCTTCCATCAAATTCTTTATTGATTCTCCAATTTCTTTCCTTTTCACTATGCCATCTTCATTAACCTTTGGCCTCAGTGCTACCTTCAAACCATCAGTTAACAAACAAGCATTCATTCTTTGCTCTGCAAACAATGGAAATGCTATTAATGGCACCCTTCTGCAAACTCTGAAGGATGGAATTCCAACCACAGTGACTCAAGAATCCACCGATGGAATTGTGACTAAGGATTTGAATCTGAGGTGCCCATGAAGGAATAACCAAACCTTTCTCTCTGGTTCTCTCCAAGAACCCTTCTGGTAAGTAATCTAAAGGATTCCTGCTATTTTCAGAACCAAAGTAAGCAGCACTAGCAAATTTACTTGGGGCTCTCACAACCCATAAGAACTTTTCACCACTTAGTTCCAACCCTAAAGCCAGTTCATTGAGCTGCTCCTGAGACACTGTCCCTCCACTCCCAAATGAAACATAGAGAACTGATCTGGGTTGTTGATTATTCAACCATTTCAAACAATCTGATCCATTTTGCTCACTCCTTGACGCCTCACTTTGTAAAATAGGACCAACCGGATAAATCTGGGGCTTGTCTTTAAACTCTGCATGTAAGGCTTTAATTGTCTCAGTTTCCAATTCAGGGAAACTATTAACAAGAACCCCATTAGCATGACCGATTCTTCTGCCCCGCTCGAGAAATTTCTTATAGACAAAGCTGCTTCTATCTCGAAGAGACCCTGGTAGATCTCTACCTTGTATTGGCACACAACCTGGCATCTTTACGGGATCTTGTAGGTCTCTGAACCCCAAAGAGACTGCCTCATCAAGCTTTGGTCCATACAAGCAAAGAGATAAAGCCATGGCAGAGAGGGGGACGTATACGTAAGATAAGATATTGAGTTCCGAAGCAATATCTAATGCTTCCATGGCAAATATATCAACAACCAAAACTGCAAGGCCATTTCTCGAGCACAAGGATTCCAATTCCTGACGAATAGATGGCAGTGAGAGGGTCACTGCGCCTTGAATTTGGACTCCGATATAAGCTCCTTCATCATTATGATGAGCAATAACGTCCTTTTCATGAACTGGTGCGAGGGAAATTGAGTGTATATTCGAAGGAAGAGTTTGAAGGTAGGATTTGGTGGAAGAAGAAGGAGGACCAAGTGAGGGAATTATGCAGGTAACTTGGAAGTCTGCATGAAGATGGACCAGTCGCTTGGAGAACTCAATAATTGGGACGAGATGGGTGAGCCCTGCACTGGGAATGACGGCTATGTGAATTGTTTTTTCCATGGGAGCTTGGCTCTGAGAAACTGCTTTCTTCTTGTTAACTGAGGAATGAGTTTAGGTGCTCATATGCTAACCGGCCACTATTTTCGAAAACTATGTACGACATAAATGAACGGACAGTTATTGATTTGACTCAAGCTTTTTCTGAAATATTAAAAAATCCATCCTTCATTCACAACCCCTTCACCTGAGCTCACCAAAAACAGCAGAGTTTTATCTTCGTTTCATGTAAAAAGATTTTTTAAAAGTAATTTTTTTTCTTGGTAAAAATTTTTTAAAAGTATTTTTTATTTAATCAAACACCCTAGTTTAAACATTATGGAATCTAATTTTAAGTAATAAACTTTTCAACATTATTATTTTCTATCATGTATAATCACAGTCCAAATTGACAAATTCTTCATTTAAGAACAGGAATTAAATCTCACCTAATTCAAGTGCTATTTGTCAAGTCTCAATGTAAATCTTTTTGCTAATTAGCTATGAGTGTGGGTGTTCATAGGACGGGACGGGACTGAGAAAGGGAGAGGCCGTCCTAGTCCCGTCCCGATGAACAGGGACAGGACAAGATTTTTGTACCATATCTCATCGTGATCGGGACGAGACTGGGACGTCCCGCTTCTCTTTTTTTTAAAAAAAATACTATAATTTTTTATATGAATTTCTTTATGTTATAATGCTTATTTTTTTATTGGGCTTCTAAAAATAAAAACATTATAAGAAAATATTATATAGAAAACTCAATTATATAGTATAAAAAAGGTGTAAAAACAATACTGTAAAAAAAACATATAAAACACTATATGATAACTTTATGAATTGTTTCATTGAGGAAGAAGATTTTATTAAGATAATACTACAACTGAAGAGTTAAAAATCACTATAAAAATAATAATTGTTATTAATAAGTAAATTGAATAATTTAATAATAATTATTAATAAATAATTTTTAAAAAAAACCAGGGGACGACCACTTCCGCATCCCGTCCCGTCCCAAACCCACCGGTATTAGAACGGGACAAATTGGATGCCTCTAACTATGAGTTATCAGCCTTCTTTCTTTCTAAAAAGACATATAAATTATTTTAACTAATTTATTAATATAAAAAATGATAGTTAACTTATTAAATTTATTTTAAATTGTATTTGTTTTAAACTTTACTCATATTGAATGAGATTGTAAATGAAGGAAAAAAAACAAGAAATTACATTTAAATATTAATTACAGAGATAAATTAATAGATGAGCATTAATTACCTTTGGATAAAGCCATCCTCCGAAAAGTAATTTATACTGTGAAGAGGATAGAGTATAATTAAAAAATATTGGCCGAACGGTGCGGGCGCACCCCAAGATAGGAACTTGATGGGACTTAAGGTATGTCTGGAATCTGAAAGATTTATAATTTTATGTATTGACAATTTCGTCCTTCTCATGAACCATCGCCTGTCTCTCATTTTTCTTCTTCTTCTTTAGCCACCCACCGACCTCACCTCCATTTTCAGTTTCATAAAAACTCTTATATCAACAGGACATTATTTTTCATGAACCATACAACGGATCATACACAAGAACGAGCTACACATGAATTATAAAAAAACAAAGTGTAAGAATACTTATTAATTTTTGTAGTATAATTATAATTATATACTTATATAATTGAGATGTCCTTAAAATCACTAGATAAGCCGGCATGACGTGAGGTTGGTTGGTATTTAACTATTTATTTATTTGAGGATGAGCTAAAGAGAAGATTTAAATATAGAAAAAAATGGTAGTATATATCAAAGTTATTTGAATGCGTAACCAATAATATAAATGTTTTAATCAGCTAGCTGGCTTCTCTCCTTCGGAGTCTATATCTGAGATTTTAATATTTTCAATGTCTACTTTTTTGTATATACAAGTAACAAATTATGTTGATCACACAGCACATTAATATTGGAGATTTGTCCAAGTCAATACAATAATATCGACAACTTGCGTGGTATTTAATCGTCATAGTAACGCTGGCCTGTCTTCAAGCCAACCACATGGGACTTTTTTCTTCTTGTCCAATAAATTAGACTTTAGAGAAGATAGGGGAAAAGGACCTAGTAGGCTAATTAATTGGAAAAATCGACTTAGATTTCAAGACATGGAGGAAGTGCAAACTCATGGAAGATAAATGTAGATTACAGATGATAAATTGCAGATTCTGAATTATTAGGTCATTTTTTCTAAATTAATTAACTGATTAATTAATATATTCAAAAAGCATGTTCATATTTTTTTTTTCATGATTAATAAAATCATAATTTTTTGGTATAAAAAACATATCGGGTGATTTTTTTCCATGACTCAAACACGCATCACAACTTTCGTCAAAAATTTAAACTCGCATTTTTACTCGTAAGAAACTCTTAAGAGAAGTGTTTGGTGTCAGTTTGGCTACAAAGTCGTAACATGTCAAGAGTTCTCGCTGCATGGCCTTCGAAGTTCATGTATATAATTATGTATAATCTGTTAGTAATTCTATATTTGTCAGTCTTAATCTGCAAAACAATCGGTCAATTAAATCGTCGTAACAGTACATAAAATATTACGAAAGACTGACTAAAATAATTAAATATAATATATTAGAAATTTCGGCGAGCTGTCCCTCAACAGGATTGTCGGCCACGCAACTCATTTCACATACGTCGTTTTCTCTTTGTCAACTCAATGTGGGTCCCAACAATATCATAGTTTTCCAAGACGCGTTTGTATCTTTTTGATTGACTTTGTTGACTTGAGTAATATAAGAAGCGAGCCGAAGATGCCTTTGTATCAACAACTAGCAGCCCAAAATCGCATCCTAAGGCTTCTTCTTCCCCCTCATATTAACTTTTTTTTTGGGTGGCTTTGAAAAGTTTAGATAAGCAAGGTCTTGAGGAATTCATCACGATCATGGCATGTTTCTGAGTTCAAAAGGCGTTTAAAGATGTATCTACAAATCCCTGGCTAACAATATCCTTGTCATATTAATAGTAGGATTTGAACTCCTAACCTTGTGAGTTATGAGCTAAATTATTACCAATCAAACCGATAGATCTTTGTTGTGACCCTCATATCAAGGTTTCACAACTATTCATTCCTTCATGACAACCATTATTTCAATCGCTTTGCTTTCTTTCTTTTCTCATTTCATCGTTCTCACTACAGCCCAGCAAGACTTCATATACCATTTGTGTTACAACGATGTTGGTAACTACACAAGCACGAGTTCCTACGACACAAACCTTAAAACCCTTCTTTCTAATCTCACTTCGGACCCAAAAGTTGATTATGGCTATTACACTTCCTCTGAAGGCCAAAATCCTAATAGGGTCAACGCTCTTGGACTGTGCAGAGCAGATGTTAAGCCAGATTCTTGTCGTACTTGCCTCAACAATGCCACAATCCTTCTACGAAAGCTATGTCCAAATCAAAAGGAAGCATATGGATACAACGATGGGTGCATTTTACGATACGCTAATCGCTCCATGTTTGGGATAAACCAAGACTCAGATTTTTCAATCTTCATGTGCAACCCTAGTAATGCAACAGACAACTACAATGAAGTGCTTGATGGTCTGATGCGAAGGCTGAGAGGCAAAGCCACCGCCGGCGACAGTCGCAGGAAGTTTGCTGCCGGTACGGTGGCGGCTTTGTTTCAAACTGTATATGGTTTTGCTCAGTGCATGCCTGATTTGGCTGAGCAAGATTGTGATGACTGCTTGGAGAAGGCAATCTCGAGCATTCCCAGATTGTGTAACAACAGGATCGGTGGACGGATAATCAAACTGAGTTGCAACGTTAGATATGAGAATTATCGCTTCTATGATGATGTGGTTCTTGATTCATTATCTTCATCTCCTCCGGCTGCTTCACCATCCAACACATCTTCCTCACAAGGTACCGTTGATCTTAATCTTATGTGGTAAATACTTTTATTTGCATTTTAAAAATATCCTATGCACGCACTATGCCAATCTATGTTCATTTATTAATGCTAATATGTATACATAAAGACACACACATATATAGGGACCACTCTCATGTATATGAGAAATCCAAAATGATTATAACTACTCAAAACAGCTTAATTTCTATGAAGCTCTTATAGACTATTTTGGAACTAATTTTTTTCATGAGATGACTTAATTGCCCTATGAAATTTGTGTGAAGTTAGTATCTTAGTTGTAGTTGTTATTTGATCAATTAAAATTACTAACTGAACTTCTTGTCATTTAATTTTTTTTAAATTTTAAATTAAGGATATTTAAGTAATTTTACTATAAAATTTAATCCAAGACAAGTCCCTGGGGACTTCAAAGTAAGTAATTAGGCACGCATTTTAAGGTCCTGAATTGGTATTTGTAGATCTGCGAGGTATTTTTGTGTCTTATTCTCAATAAAGAAGACTTGTAATCCATGCATCAGTTTACATACCTTATAAATAATAAACTGATCACTTTATAAGTTATAAATAATGTAGCTAATTTTCCTATTAATTGTGCGCGCGCGTGCATATATGTGGAACCTCAACTTAATTTAGAGCGAAAGGACAATTATTTATTTAAGTTTTCACCTAACTATCACATGCTAAATAGCACTCATATATATATATTTCATATCTAAACTCATGCCATCAAGCAATTACTATTTATTTTAAATTTGTATCTAAGTGTGCCCACATGTCAAGTAGTACCTCATCCCATATTGATTAATGTAAACACTGTATAATTGAATACTATACTTAATTAGGAATCAATTATTCGTAAATTAACATGAATAATCAAAGAATGTGATTTATTTCTCAAATTCACACCAGTTATGAGTAAATTGTTAAGCCGCAAATAATTTCTATTTTTTTCTTTCAATTTCATGGCAGGAACGGCTGATTCACCAAAAGCTGTGTCTTCCCCAAAAGGTACAAACTCCTCTTTCTAATTTAACAAAGCAATTTCTTTTGTTTTTTTTTTTTTTGGCAAAGAAGCGATCAAAGCAATTACTCCCCGATCTTCTACATATACATATAAAAGAAATTTATTTGGAAATGACATATTTATAAGAGTCAATAATATCCTATTTAAAATTTTTAGTATTATTTTTTAATTTTCCCCATTAATTATTAGCTACTCTCACTTTATTAATTATACACATATTACTTTTAATTAATATTAATCAACTGTTTTTATCTACATAATTCAGTTATTTATATCTTATAAGAAGAACAAGAAGGAGTATTAAATATGAATTTTATTTTTGCAATTTTCTCCCTGTATCTTGTCAATAAATTTGTTAATCGGTTTCCGATCTTTAATTTGTAGGGAATGGCCACAGTACATCAAGAACAGTCATAATCGTGGCTGTGTCTATCGGAGCTTTTGTCGCAATTCTTATTTTGATTTGCATCTATTTTGTGGTTCGGAGATCGAAGAAACCAATTGAAAGTAAGTCAAAATAGTGTTTTCACACTAAACCATGTCCTTTGAACATTGTTAATTTTAATATCGTCATAATGGATTAAAAAAAGCTCACGTACATCTTTTGTTTGACTTTTTTCTCAGCTGATCAACCTGAAGCAGAGCATGATGAAATTAAACCAATTGAGTCACTGCAATTCAATTTCAACACTATAAAGCTCGCCACAGATAACTTCTCTATTGCAAATAAGCTTGGACAAGGAGGGTTTGGATCAGTATATAAGGTTAAAAAATAAGATAACACTGTCATTTGTGTGTGCGTGTGTGTGAATATGTGTGTGTTTGTGGGTAGTCTGGTACTGATTAAATAATTGCATGCCCCAACTCTAATAAATAATGCAGGGCAAGCTTCCAAATGGGCAAGATATTGCTGTTAAAAGGTTGTCCATGGATTCTGGCCAAGGAGATTCAGAATTTAAAAATGAAGTGCTTTTGGTGGCTAAACTCCAACATCGCAATTTAGTGAGATTATTGGGCTTCTCCTTAGAAAAGAAAGAAAGGCTATTGGCATATGAGTTTCTTCCCAATAGAAGTCTTGATTACTTATTGTTTGGTAAGTCACTGGGATGTTTTTGTCTTAATTTGGATGCATGCTGCTCCTATTCTTTCATTTATGTTGGATGAAAATCAAAATGCAAATTGTAGACATAGTTTCAATGGATCATAGCCTTAAATAGGTATGAAAATATTGCAGATTCAAATCAACGTGTTCATTTGAATTGGATAATACGCTACAAAATCATAGGAGGCATTGCTCGTGGCCTTCTTTATCTTCATGAAGATTCAAGGTTACGTATTATTCATCGAGATCTAAAAGCAAGTAATATTCTTTTAGATGAAGAGTTAAATCCCAAAATATCAGATTTTGGTATGGCAAGACTATTTGTTGTTGACCAAACTCAAAGCAATACCAGCAGAATTGTTGGAACTTAGTAAGTATATCGCTAGCCTTATTATCAATGAAAAATCACAATACTTATTCTCAACTAACACATCTAACTAAGCTCATTATTATCTTGACATTTAGTGGATATATGGCACCAGAATATGCAATGCATGGACAATTCTCTATCAAATCAGATGTTTTCAGTTTTGGCATATTGGTTCTAGAGATTGTAAGTGGCAAAAAGAACAACAGTGTCTTTGATGAAGAGAACGCCCATGATCTATTAAGCTATGTAAGCCCCTTGCCGCTTTTCACTCATGCATACATGTATTTGTCATCTTTCAATACATACACACAAAATTAAGATTGTAGGGTAGAAGAAAGTCAAAGAGAACACTCAATGAAATGATTGAGTGGGATTTTTCATTTAATAACCTAACCAAATATTTGATTGCTAATAGAGCTCAAGGCTTTATACAATCCATGTAGCCGACCCCATCTAGTGGGGCAAGATTTTGTTGTTGTGGTTGTTCTATGTGTCATGACTAGCTCACATGTAGTTGTGAAAGTAGCTTGGGATTAATGTTTATCATTGATGATGAACTTCTTGTAGGCATGGAAAAATTGGAGAGAAGGCATGGCTTTCAATTTAGCGGATCCTATGTTAAAAAATTGTTCAAGAAATGAAATAATGAGATGCATCCATATTGGGTTATTATGTGTGCAAGAAAATGTGGCTGATAGGCCAACCATGGCTTCAGTTGTAGTTATGCTGAATAGCTACTCTTCCTCTCTTCCCTTTCCTTCAAAGCCTCCACTTTTAATAAACACCAGAGGTTCATCAGAGATACATTTAAGGGAGTACAGTTCAGAAGCAACAAGATCAAGCGAAGGAGGAAGTAACTCTATGCAACAATCAGTAAATGAAGCATCAATTACTGAACCATATCCACGTTAGATTTTTGTCTTGTAGTTGAAATTCATAAGCACTAAAATGGGGACCTAATATATGTATATTTCTTGAGCATTATGTGGATATTTGGCCAGTTTTGGATCAAGGTGTAACTTTGCAAAACTATTGGGCACAAAAGTGAAATTATTGACAATTCCCTTAGTTTTTTTTTTAATAGCCGTGGTTTAATTTTAAGTAGATGACATAATTTCTTAATTAGCCATTGATCTATTTTGTGAATAGATATATTTCTTTCTATTTTTTGTATCAAAGAGTTTTCATGATTTGGGTCAAGATAGTTCATAAATGTCAAGGTGTATGCACATTCAAATTTAAAATAGAGTTAGTTGCTTATTGCCCACTTAATTAATCAAGTTATGGATCAAAGTTTTTGGACTAGTTTTCATTTTGGTTTTTGTTTTTTGTTTTTTGCCATCTTGGATTAATCTTTGTTTCGCCTAATAAATATATTTTATCATGCAAACAAATTAATCAAGTTATTTGGTGATCTGGTTCTTAATGTATTATTCATCCTGAGGAAAATGTTAAAATGATATGATTATACAACTTTTACAAATGATTTTACTACCCAACAAAGAAAGAAAAATGACATAAAAATTTATAAATTGTTATAAATATTATCAAGTATGAATGTCCATCTTCTCTTCCTCTTCAATTTCATCAACTCCCACTACTTTCACTGCATTAATTGGCCACTACTCCATTGCTCCTCCACTATGCTTTTAATCTTGTAACTTATATCATACTCATATTCATGTGATTTATTGTCCACTATGGCATTTAAGTACAAGTCTAACTTGTGTATAAGACTATGCCTATAAATAGGACATGCTACTGTGAAGTGAAGCAGGTGAAAGGATACAATATTATTCTCTCATTTTTTTTGTTTACATCTCTTCTCTAATCTACTTTGTTTGCTGGTTAGTTTCTTGACATGTTATCAGCACAAAACTATACCATCTAAGTTTGTGGTTTCTTGTTGATTTCGAAGATACTGTAATCCATATGATTTGGTAAGATTTTTTTCAATTTATTTAAAGGAAATGATTGTTTTGCATATTAACCTTATTGATTCATTAGCAACCAAATATTTTATTCATCATATTGAGGTGTGAAAATTTTTATTTCTATTTCTTACCTTTTTTATATTTTCATGATTCCACTATCCTTATACCTCTTAATTTATTATGAGGTTTATTTTCATCTACAACATTAGTATATATGATTATCATCTCTGATACTAATTAATGGTTGTCTTGGAAAATAAGATGTCAGACACATAAAATGAATGGCTAATAGCCATTTTACTCTTGATCTTATTATTAGATGGCCAAGAGCCACTTTTTGATGATTCTTTGATAAAAGACTATCTTGTGGTTGTAATAAATGGCATTTGATAATCTATATCAAAATTATGAAAACTGATGATTTAAATATCAAATGATACAAAAGAGTTTTATAGTTCTGGAAAAAATTTGCTATAGTCCAAAAGACTAATATTTGAGGAAATTAATAGTGTGCTATTGAAAACAAAAAACATGTCTATAAGAGTGATGAAGAGTATGACTACATTATTTCGGTAGAATTGATAACCAAAAAGGCAATAATTTTTGAGTTTGACTATTGAATCATAACAAAAGAGATAGTAATTGTAACATCCTGAATTTTCTGATTCAGGAAAAGCAGTAAAGAAAATTTATTAAAATTATTTAAAGCCTAGAAAATTTTGGTAAAAACTATGGAACATTAATTTCAATGACTTAAAAATTTTATGAAAAAATTTATTTCCCCCAAAATGGCTTAAATAATTTAAAGTTAACTTTGGTAGTTAAAAGGGCCTATTTTCTTGAAAATTCAAGGAAAATAGTTAGAGGTTTATATTTGAGCCAAAAATTTTAGGATAATTATTTTATGAGCCAAAGGAAATAATTGAAGGAGAAAAGCCATATATGTATGCGATTGCTTTTACATGTTGTTTGGGTTCGGTTGTGCCATGATTTTTGAAGCTTAGTATTGTTGTTTTGGTTAATATAGGCATTGGGTTCTTAGAAAAAGAAAGACGGAACAAGGGTATATTTATATATACAGTTGATGGTGTTAAATCTGTAACTTTGATTTTAAGGGGTTAATGAAAATATATATATATATATATATATATATATTTGCTTGAGTGTTTGACCGTGGGAGCTGCAATGTGAGTGGTGAGAGATATGTGGGAAAGAAGGAAGTTGTGTGTGTGTGCGCGCACGCGCGCGTGTGTATTGCTATATGTGTTGATCAAATTGAGGGCTATTGATGTGGAGTGTGTGAGCTTTAAATCTGGAATTTAAGTATAAAGATGAAGAAACAAAATTGTTGATTGATGTTTGGGCATGGGAGGTTTTCCGTGGAGATTAGTCAAACTTCTAATGTTTATTGATGAACTCAATGGTTAAGCCAATTGATTATAAAAGTTAATAATTGATTTAAAGTTGAAGGAGAGACTTAAATAATTTGATTTGTTTGAGAGCTAGAGTGAGAAATGGAAAAAAATGCTTAATGTTTGATTAGTCATATGGTTAACTATATTTAAGTTATACAGATATATGTATATATATATATATATAATTTCTTTTCCATGATGACGGACTATTAAATAAAAAGAAATAAAGTTCATTAATAGGTCAAGAGAAGATATATTTTGGATAATAGAAGCTAAATGGACTAAGTACTAACCCATTCATATGTGAAATCATATTATAGGATTGAACATCTACCCAAGCCCGCTAAGAGAGCAAGTAAAAAAGAAATCTAGAAAAGGTAAACCAGAAAAAGGGATTTCAGGCAGTAACTTTTTCTCTCATATACTTATGCTATAGCTCTGCATGTCTATTTGTGCCATAATGCCTATATTCCTTAATGAATATACAATGATTTTGATTATGGAAGTTGTGTGTTCAATTATGAATAGTGGTTTCAATTATGAGAGCTGTGTGCTCGATTATGAATAGTAACTTTAATTACTGAAGCTGTATGCTCGATTATGAATAGTGGTTTTAATTACAAGAGCTGTGTGCTCAATTATGAGTTGTGGTCTTCATTATGGGAGCTGTGTGCTAGATTATAAATGGTGGTTTTGATTATGGGAGCTCTGTACTCAATTATGAATGGTTGTATTGATTACGGGAGCTATGTGCTTGATTATGAATGGTGGTTTTGACTATGGAAGCTGTGTGCTTGATTATTAATGGTAGTTTTAACTATGAGAGCTATGTGCTCGATTATGAAGGATGATTTTGATTACAGGAGCTGTATGTTCGATTATGAACGATGGAAACTCGCAATTTATGTGGACACTGGAACTGTGTGTTCCCTTAGATTCGTATTTTATATGAATACTAGAACTATGTGTTCTCTTAGACTCATATTTTGTGTGAATAATGGAACTGTGTGTTCCCTTAAACTCATATTCTATGTGAATACCAAAACCATGTGTTCCCTGAAACTTATATTCTATGTGAATACTAGAACTGTGTGTTCTCTAGAACTCATATTCTGTGTGAATACTGAAACTATGTGTTCCCTCAAACTCATATTTTGTGTAACTACTGGAATTGTGTGCTTCCTCAAACTCGTATTCTATGTTAGTATAAGAACTGTGTGATCCATGATGAACTATATATGGTGTGTGAATCTTACCAGGTATGTTGATCTAATAAGTGCTTATCATATGGTTTATTTTGCATGCTTTGTGAACTTTTATACATGTATGATAGATTATTGTTATTACTGGGATTCTTAAAATCTCACCCCTTTCCTTCCATGATATACAGCAAAGACAAGTGGCTCAAGAGCAAGAATGTGGTGATTGCAAGGAATTGAGAAGGTTGGAAGAAGAAGTTATTTGTTTAGTTGGTCATCAGTTTTTGCTTTTATAGTTTGAACTTATAATTTTTTATTAGTCAAGTATGACTACCACTCTATGTATATAAATATGTAGATATAAAATTATATGAAATTTATGGAATGTAAATTCCTCAATAAATAGGAAACTATGGCTCTTGAAGTCAACAAATGAATGCCATCTCCTTTTATGGCTGTGTAATGATAGGTTAGTAATATTATTAACTTTCTATATTATATAACCCTGCATACTGGAAAGTCTGCAAGAAAATTTTTGCAAGAGTATTATATTTTCAGGATCAAACTTGGCTTAGTGGTTTCAAGTTATCACACTTGGACCCAGCTGACATAGAAAATTAAGGTATTACATTAACAGCCCTATGATCAATGTGATAAAATTATGAACAAATATTATAATATGACTAGAAGTCATATAGACAAATATGTATCAATTTATTAAAAATAAACATTAAAAAAGGGTTGTGAAGCCAAAAAGACTATGTGATATTATAAAAATATTGAAAGTAATTCTAATGCATCAGGGCAATAAGTTGTGAAGAAAGATGTCCAAAGTATTTATCAACATAGAAGAGATATAACTATATGCCTAGAAAGGTAGGCTATATATATCATGTTTAATTTTTATCAGTCTTTAAATTTATTGTGATTTGTGAGAAACAAATTATTATAAGAATATGATATTGTGACATTATAAGCGTGTAATATGAAATTATATAGATCAAATAGACCAAGAAGTTAATGGTTATATTTTGTTTATTCATATCTTATTCATATGATATGATTCAATATTAGTTTTAAATATTTTAAACATGTACAGTACATTGGTCTACGAAGGTTTGAATGTTATGTTTGATTTGTACTTTATTTTCAAAATTTCATTTTAAAGGATTTTTTTTTGTGTTTTTTCTGTATATATTGCAAGTTAAATTTATGGTACTTATAACAATTCATTATTATGTTAATGATACAATATAGAGAATTTATTTTCACATTCCTTCCAACTTGTACAATTCCTAAAGAATTATATGTAACAATATAAATATAGTTCCTAAAGAACTATTACAGATCTTTTCTTTATAGATGGACAAAATAATGAATAGTGAAAAATGTGACCTATAGATCTACATCACAGCTTCGGTTCTCTGCAAGGTCTAATAAAGATAACTCAATTGGATTAAATTCCATAATTATATATATATGAACTAAGGAGCAAATAGGTTTTCAAGCAAAAGATAAGTTATCGGTCTATATATCATATGTAAGTCACTATTTTTCAAAATACGTGAATAAAGGAATCATGTCTGCATAACTTACACTTGACAAGGAGATTGTTGGAATACAAG